CCCCCCCCCCCCTTCCCCCGCTGCTGGCGGACGTGCCTGTTTACCTTCGCTGCGCTCCTCACCTGCCTGCCCGGAGATATCACTCCAGACACCGGGGAAAACATGTTGGGCGGCTGGTAAAGCTTAAAGCCCTGAGCGCTGCATCTTCCTCTTCAGCTGGTGGTCATGGTTTCCATCGCCAGCTTCCCGCGTGCCCGGACCAGGTAAACAATGGGAGATGTCGGCCGGTGCGGCGCACAGGCCAACCCAGAGGGGCTGTTATTGAAAATCTGCGGCCTCTGGCGCGTGCTCCCTCCACCGCTGCTGGGTCCACTTTGGACAGTATCCGGATGTGTTTGGTCAACAAAAGTTCTGTTACCAACAAAACTTTTGTCCTCAGGGACTACTTTCAAGAGGACGCTTTGGAATTTCTCTGCGTCACAGAGACTTGGGTTGTTTTCACACCTGATAGTCCGGTAGACTCGGTTTGGTTGGGGACCAATATTCATAACATTTTGTTTACATTTGAGCTGGTGCGTTTGCATTCACACTGCACTGTGCAGTCGAGTCAACCTGTTGAACCAACCTGTTCCCCCACTCGCCTGTGAGGGTGCTGCACCAAGAACTACTGAAAGAAACGACACAAAAACCTCTGAAGACACTTCTTCTTCTTCTGGAAATAAAAACAAAAACGGAGTGGCATCAAGTTTTAGGAGTTATATTTTGTCATTTTTCAACAATGGACTCAGCATGAGCAGAAAATGAGGCAGAAGACCATGGAGAATATTGTTTTTCACACAAGGCAGCTGACGGATCCATATAAGGTAAGAGAAATGTGTGTTTGTTTGCCCTGTGCTGTACTCCACTTCTTGCTTGTGGAGCGGAGCCCGGTCTGTTTGCATTCACACTGTACTCAAACCACGCTGGAGTCCTCTTGTACCGGACCGAGACCTAGGTTTTAGCCCAGGCCAGAGTTTGCCTTTTTGTTCCGTGACAGAGTTCGATGGCGCTTTCACACCTCCCCAAACGAACCGGACTTCCTAGAAAAATGAGCTAGAGTTCGATTAAAGCGGACTAAACAAGGCTGGTGTGAATGCACCCTTGGATGTCTCGGGGTGAGTCCAGCACCTTGGCGGAATTATTGACACCGAACTGTCTTATTTTAACGCACCACAGCCATCAGGCTGGCACGTGGTGGATTATTAACAATATTCAAATCAACTTTTGACTGTTAACAACTGCCCATCCCAGTTTCCCGCGCCAGCTTTGAGCTGAGCTTCTTTGAGCTGAGCTTCTTTGAGCTGAGCTTCTTTGAGCTGAGCTTCTTTGAACTCGGCCATTTGCCTTTGACTTTATGCGCACTCGTCTACCGCCCACCTCGATCTAAGGATTTCATAAATTAATTTTCTGATTTCTTGGCTGAAATCACACCAAAATATAATCATGTTTTCATTATTTGGGACTTTAATATGCATGTGTGCTGTCTGGAGAAGCCCTTGGTTAAGGACTTTTTAGATTTATTGGACTCATTTAATCTAACTCAGCATGTAAACGGTCTCACCCAAGAGTGTGGACATACACTGGACCTTGTTTTAACTCGTGATGTGACTGTTATTAATCTTGAAATTGGTGATAAGGTTTTTTCAGCCCACATGCCAGTCCATTTTGAGTTCACCCTCCCCCATCTAACTCCTAAGCCGTGCGTTCCTGCACCTCGCAGCTGGACCATTAAACACTTCACTGCCGCATGTTTCACAGATGTTTATAACTCTAAAATGATAATTCAGCCCCTGGTGTTTCTCACCACCACTGAGTAGCTGACATCCCAGTTCAACTCTGTCTGCTTAAAGACTCTGGATCATGTTGCGCCTGTTAAAACTAAAAAATCAAAACTCAGAATAGAACCTTGGCTGAATGACATCACCAAGGACGTTAGGCAGCAGTGCAGGAGAGCGGAGCGCAAATGGAGGAAAGACAGGCTGCAGGTCTCTTTTCAAATACTTAAAGAGAGTTGGTGCCATTATCAGAAAGCAGTAAAAGCTGCTAAATCTAAATACTTTTCTGATATCTTATCCACAAATACTGGTGATTCTGTGCTGCTTGTTCTATTGGACCTTACAGCTGCTTTTGACACTATTGACCATGAGATCCTCATTGCTAGGTTGGAACAGTGGGTGGGCATCACAGGGTCAGCCCTCAATTGGTTCAGATCCTACCTCACTGACAGAACCTTTTGTGTCTCCATCAAAGATTTTAGTTTTGCAGCAGCAGAGCTTAAATGGGGGGTTCTGCAGGGGTCCATCCTGGGTCCTCTCCTATTCACTTTATACCTGCTGCCACTTGGGGCTCTTATCCGGAAACACAACATACCCCTTCACTTCTAGGCCAATGACTGTCAAATTTACTTCCCCCTAAGGCACAATGGTACGTGCTCTATTCAACCTCTGCTCGACTGCCTGGCTGATATCAGGGACTGGATGGCTTTAAATTTCTTAAGTTTCAATGAAAAGAAGTCTGAAGTCATGTTGTTCCCTCCCAACGACACGATCACAAACCACAGCATCGATCTTTCCGCTCTAACCCTGTCAGAAAAACAAAGAGTCACTAATCTGTGCGTGATAATGGACCCTTCCCTGAAATCATGTTTCTTTCAACTGAGGCGGCTGTCTAAACTGAAGCCCATATTATCCAAAAATAACCTGGAGACAGTAATACGTGTATTCATTACATCTAGGCTTGATTACTGCAATTTGCTCCTGTTTAGTATCAGTCAGACCTCCATTGCACGACTACAACTGGTCCAGAATGCAGCAGCCCGATTTTTAACCAGTACAGGCAAAAGAGAGCACATTACTCCAGTTTTGGCCTCACTGCACTGGCTACCGGTTCACCTTCGAATCCAGTTCAAAATACTCCTGTATGTCTACAAATCACTGAACAGTGTCA